CGGCTGGCTCAGTGGCGGGGAGGGAAGAAATCCCAGGGACAGCTGATGACAGGGAGAGCATCCCTGAGCTAAAATAGGGGGAAAGAGAAGTGTAGAGGCGGGGCGTAGTCATGACAAGGAACAGCCCTGAGTTTTAAGGTTTCTTTGATAATTTGTCTTTCTGTTTCCCCATGTGACGGGATGGGGGGAGGAGAGAGCCTTTTGAGTTTCCCTGAGTATCGGGGTTGAGGGGAGAGCCACGGAGATTTTTCTTTTTGTTTCCCTGAGAGAAGGGGCTGGAGGGAAGGAGGAAGGTGGGGTAGGAACAGAGCTGAGAGAACAGGTCCCATGTTGGCAAGCAGTCATAATGGGCGCAACTCCACGGGAAGGGCCAAGGCCAACGAGGAACAATGCACACAAGGTGGAGTGAGGCCGGGGTGTAGGGGTGGTGGAGCTCCATGAATGACTGCCAGGTGAACTGTGGGCCACCGAGCAAACCAGATGACCGACCCCGTCCACTGAAGAACCAACAAGTCATGGCAGGTGAGAGCGGGGAAGGCGAGTTGTGGAGGAGACACCTGCTCGGCCAAAGACGCGAGCCCGGAGAACGCCCAGCACCCGGGCGAAGGCTGCTTGAGAGCGGATGCTCGAAGTCATACAGTCACATACCAAATCGGGCATTTTGTGAAAAATTTTGGCAAGCAAAAATAAAAAAAAGCAAAACTTTTATTTTTATAAAGAAATGTGCAAACAATAAAAATGATCAGTGAGCAGAGAAAAAATGGGGAAGCCCTGCAGCCTTGGAGCACAGGGGTGGAGAGGGGGGTGAGAGGCAGCAAACGAGAGGCCGAGCCTGTGATGTAGGGTTGGGACAGGTGCGAGTCCGGGGCTGGTCAGGGAAGCAATAAGGTTTCAATGTCATCTTCTAAGCAAACAGAGGCATGCTGCTACAGCAGGCTGCAGCCTGAAGAGGATTGAGCATGAAGGTAATGAGTCAATTAATGGTTTCTGAGGGCTTAATCAGAGTAATTATGCCATGGTTTCAAGCCATCTGCCAGTCTGTGGCAAGGGGCAGGACTGCTGGAGCCCTTCAGCCGATCAGAGGCGTGGGGGGAGGTCCTGCCATAAGTCCGTGAAGGTGGTGGTTAGTGCTGCGACTGACCTGTGAAATTGCCTGTCTGCTGCCTCGATCTGGGTAGGTCCCTATCCATAATGGTGCTTTGCAGTGGCTTCTTGCACTACCCTCTTGGAGCAACTGGTGCTGGGCTGTGTTGGTGACTAGATAATGGACCAGGTGAGTGGTGCCTAAATACTTTGGACCACTGTCAACTTTCAGATGTTCTCAGGGAACCTTCTTACCAAATTTTCATTGAAAGCACCCTAAAGACATGTCACGCCCACTGTGATTCACAGTCCAGCTGTGAACCGCAGACCACAGACTACCAGTCATCCACAGATCAGTTTGCAGCACTACCAGATTAGATGGATCAATCATCTGATTTCCCCTGGCAATTCCCATGTGTAGGCTGGGAAGGAGAGGCCACACACAATCGTCTTTTGTCAGTTGATGTTACAGGAAGAAAAAGTCACAAAAGCTGCCTGAATTGTGATGGCCTGATGGAGAAGATTGAGCTGTAGCCTGCTGCCCGCCCCATATATACTAGGACAAGCAGATCAGAGGATAGGTGAAGGAAGAGTGATAAAGCTAGGAACAGCATTTGACTCTAGTTATCCATGATGAATATAGCAAAGATACAAGGGCACCTAGCTGGATGGGAATGTGGGACATAATATGCTGATTAAAAAATGAAATGTAAAGGATGGCATTCAGGAGCTAAGGGCATTAGTACGAAACCCATAAGATAGGCAGAGATCCTGATTCTTCCTTGTGTTACACCAGTTTTTGGCCAACAGAACTCCACCAATGACAGACCCGTATCTCAAACCCAACCTAGACCAAGTAGCCCCAGTGTTAATCCTTCCTGGGTGTGTTTCCCCAACTCAGTGCAGCACCATGTAGCATGTTAGCTCCGAGCCAGCTGGTGTGTTGGTGCAGCTCAGGGCAAATACTTGCTTGGGTCCCAGAATAGCCATAACAGTGATGACTTGATGCTTCACCCACTACAAATGAGCCACGAGGGAGTTCTGCATTTATAAAACTATGCTGCTTCCCATTCTGGTGCTAGTTCATTTGAAGTTAGCTTGGGCGTCTTGTCAGAACCACACATCGTGTCATAAACACCCTCTGTGTCCCAACCTTTGGCTCTAAAGCCAGCTGCATACGTTTAGGACCCTGAAAGACTGAAGTGTCTCCTTCTGCAACATATAAGAAAGGAAAAGCAAGCAGGCCTGGAAATAAAGCAATTTCTTGAGCCAATCACGATTTCCAGTAAATGAGAGATCATGGCATTCATTTCAAGTTCGCCATGGCTTCATTTTGCAGGGCCTGCAGTCATTTTACCAGTGGGCTTCCAGGCACCTTGAGCCATTTGGTTGTGTTCGTTCTTCTCTTCTCCTGAGCTTCAGAAGATGCCAGCTCCACCCAGCGAACACCAAAATCATTGTGTAGTCAGTCACTTTGTTTAATCGATCCCATTGCATGTAATCCTGCTCTCGGTGTCACTGAAGCATCAAGACACCGTGCTGCATTTATAACTTAATTTCAGTAATGAAGTCTTCTCTCCCTAAAGCATGAGGAAAACAATGGTGAGCAAAGATGGAAAATAGAAATGCTGAGCATGTTGAGAGGATGATTTAGGATATTTTAGCTCAGACTGTCAGTTCTGTAGTGAGGGATTTGGCTGAAGCATGCTAGAATTTATGTTGGATAAAACATTTTGCTTAGATGTGGAGCCCAAGTTTTCACGGGAATGAGTGGCGTGGGTCCGCTGGCTTCAATGGAGCCCTGTCGGGTTACTCGTACTGGGGATTTGCCTCTCGGGCTCTTTGGATTTCAGCTCCAGAGCCTGGCACTGGTGAAATGTGAAGATTCACTGTTTTCTTGGTATCTTGGATGGAATTGCAGACTTTGGCCACGAAGAGGCATTCATTGTGTATTTATTTTTCCCCTACTTGGTTTACATGGCAACCAAAGCAGCATAATGTCTTTGGGTCTTTCTGATGTTTAGGCTCAAAAGGAATCAAGGAAGCCCAAATACCATAAGGACCTAGTTTCAGGTAATCCAGTTTTTACTACTGCATGGGCACAACCAGATCCCACCACTTCTCTCAGTAGCACGACATACTTCTACAGCAGATTTTTCTGGGGCAGAATGATGCAGAAGTATCATTATACATTTTCTTAATAGTGAGTCTTGTCAGCCTACCTCAAAAAGGTTTTCTTCCCCGTCTCAACATTTTCCTGATGGACAGAGATGGGCTGAAGCTGCAAAATTCAGATCGAGGGTCATGAGCGTCCCAGTGTTCAGGCAAAGTTGGATCTGAAGATCTGGTTTTGTTAATAATGCAGTAGAATAAGTATAAAAATATGATGCTGGTAAAGTCCACACATTTTGTTCCGGAGGACATTCAGGATTTGTTTTTTAAAATCACAGCCAAATTGCAGAGTGTGCTGTGAGGGTAATGAGCGGTTTAGTGCATATAACCAACTCTAATTTCAGACTTATGAAATGAGCACCTGCTTTCATAATCTGTGGGCCACAAAAAAGATTTGACCTCCTCTGGCAGGGTGTGACTTTCAGGACAAGAAACTGTCTGTCCTCTCTATGCATGTCTCCATTGATTTGATGAGACTGCTACAGATAAGATAAATTTTCTTCTGGAGTAGACCTCTCTGAAGTTAGTAATAACAGGACATGAGTGCAACATTGTTGTCTACTCCAATTCTCCCAATTAATTTCACTCATTATGAACTATTGGCCTTCCCATTAGGACTGGGCCACATGAGCTGTCGACCCAGAACTAGCTGTCACGCATGTCGTGTGTGGTGTGTGGCAATAGCATCACGGGGTACTTGATGTGACCACCCCCAGCTCCAGTGCAAACAGATCAGAGGGTCAAGTAGCAGGGAGCGTGGTGCTGAAAGCCATGTGGGCAAATACCCTTTTGGCCAGGAAGAAGGCCATAAAGACGGGAGCGATCAACACCACACGTCAATTTGCTCGGTCCATGGGTGAACCAAACCTGTGGCTCACTCTGCTCAGCATCCTGGAGTCGGATCCAGCCTTACACATTGGGCAGAAGTGCAAGGGTCGAAACAACAGTCTGGTGACCGAAAGGCAGAGGAGCGGGGGTCGCCCCTGGCCCACGGTTTCCCAACTGCTCGCTCACAACATGCTTCGGTGGCGTTGGTGAGGTGTCAGTCCAGATCAGTCCAGTCTCCCCTCCTGAACGTCTGGCATCTTCCTAACCCACACAGAAGAGACCAGCAGTGCTGTTTGAAGGGAGAGCAGCACAGTCCTGGGGAATGAACCATGTTCTGTGAGCTGAGGATGTGTGGACTGCGTTTCAAAGGCAACATCTGGATAATTCATAGCGCCTTTTTAAAATGGATTTGCAGATGGTGAGACCTGCCAGAAACAAAGCAGCAACAGCAGCAGCCTGTGGTCTGTCTTCAAAGCAGAGAGAGGAAAAGGTAATGAAAGTAGCTGTTTTCTTTCTTTCTTTTTTTTTTATTAATTCTTTCTTTCTAAATGCTGATCTATACATGAAACTTGTACCCAGCTAAACACAATAGGAAAGAAGACACGGGAAAAACAAGCAAGCACCCAGCTTTCTAAACGTCTGCTTGTGACGCAGCTTGGAGGGAGCAGTGCATACGTCTGCACAGTGGTCACGGCGGTTGCTGAAGTGCAGGAGCGACACACCTGAGCTAGTGCAAGCTAGCTGGCTTGGGTCCTGTATCTGTGAGGGATGGACTTCAGTGCAGGCTCATTTACCCAGCTTCTCAGCCAGGTTTTGCAGCCCATGCTGAGCTTGCAGGCCCTGTGGCTAGGCGGGGGCTAGCTCAGGTAACACTGTTATGTGGCAGTCACTGGGAGGGCTGCAGCATATTTAAACAGTGCCGTGGTTGGGCACTGCACCGCCTCCTTGGGAAGTCTAGTCCACATTTGGGTCACCCTTACCATAGAGAAGTCCTTCCTTACATCCAATCTGAAACCATCCTCTAATAGTTGATGGCCATTGCTCCTTGTCCTTCCCCGGCATGCTCTAGACATCAGTGCAGGCTCATTTACCCAGCTTCCCGGGCAGGTTGTGCAGCCCATGCTGAGCTTGGAGGCCCTGTGGCTAGGCGGGGGCTAGCTCAGGTATCACTTTGGGCAATGGTTAAACTGTTGTTTGGGCAATGGCTAAACTATATCTCTCAGCTCCTGGTATTCACCCCTTACATACTTATAGATGGCCACCAAGTTCCCCCTCAGTCTTGTCTTCCCCAGGCAGAGCAGTCCCAGACTCTTTATTCTTTCCTCATCAGGTTTGTCCTCCAGGTCCTTAATCATTCTTGTGGCCGTTCCCTGGACCCCTTCAAGATCCTCCACATCTTTTTTGAAGTGTGGCGCCCGGAACTGGACACAGTCCTCCAGCTGGGCCCTCCCCAGTGCCGCGTAGAGAGGAAGTATCACTTCCTTATCCCTGCTCACGACCCATCGGCTAATGCATCCCAGGATGCTATTAGCTCTGTTGACTACACTGGCGGCTCATGTTCATCCTGTGATCAGCCATAACCCCAAGGTCCCGTTCAGCCATCGTGCTGGCCAGACTTCTCCTTCTAACCTATATTCATGTTGCTGCTTACTTCTCCCCAGACGAAGCGCTCTGCATTTATCCTTATTGAACGGCATCTGGTTCTGCTCTGCCCACCTTTCCAGCTTGTCCAGGTCTGCTTGGATCCCCGTCCTATCCCCTAACGTGACCGCTTTTTCCCTAGCGTGACAAGCCTACAAAGACCTGGAACTACCTCGGCTGTAGGGCAGGGGTGTCCGATGGGTCCTGTCTACGCAGCCTTTTGTGAAGTTATGTCCTGCGCCAGACAGACTGCTTACAAGCAGCTCTCACAGACAGCCCTACACTGAAGTGCCTCTGTGCCGTACTGCTAGATGGCTTAGGCACATTTTCTTTTGTGTATCAATCAGGTGGGGCCAGCAGGGCAGGGTTTGCCAACGGCCCTATAATAACAGTGCAGCGTGCTCATGTAATGGAGGCGAGAGAGCACTGGGCAAGGCAAGGAGACTTCAGTTTGAAGCTTTGAAGAAGCTGGAGCTACACGTCTGAATTAAAAAACATCAAAGGCGAGTCTGTGCGCAGCGTGAAGGTGGATCAAAACTTTCCTCAAGTTCAGAGGAAAAAATCTGTGCTCTGCTGAGGACAATGGAAAGACTCCCATTGCTTGCAGTGCAGTCAGGCTTCCTGGAGCCAAACACCCAGGGTGTAGAGCTGCTTATTTCCAGCCTCCGAGTATATGTTATTTAAAGAAACTTGATAGTATCCCTTTAAACTCACTGTGCAAAGGGAAACAGAGCCCCTCTCTCTGCACTCTGAAGCTCTGATGACAAAACAGCACCGATGTTCTTGTTGTTAGTTTGGTCAAATGGACCCGGGTCCATTTGGGGCGATGGCTTTCCTTGTTTTTGCACTCACTGCACTTCGGTTGCCTCAGTAAGGACCTTGCTGCAGCAGTGGGAGGCTTGGGGGAGCAGCAGTTGCTAAAGGTTTGGCTGTGCTTGAGCAGGTAGATGCAAATGCTAAAGATCTGGCTGGCCGTCAAGATTTTGTACAACTCTCCAGGACGGGCCCGTTTCACAACCTCGGCAACTGGAGCTAGGGAAACGGATGTGAAACGGCTGTGGAAATCGCACGCATAAAAAAGTCGGCGTCTGCAGTCTTAAATCCGGCGCTCTGAGAAGAGAGGGGGTGGGAGATTTGCTCGTTTGGTAGCTGAGAAGCGGGGTTGAAACTATGTGATCTTTGGCTGGGGCATGAGGCCTTTTCTTTTTTTCCTTCAGAAACTTGTGTGAGAACGTACTGTCCTTACAGCATGAACGCAGCGCTGGCGGGGCGCACCGGTGCAGTGTAGGCTGGCTTTGCAAAGTCCCCCCTGCCCTGCTCCAGACCGGCTGAACCGACGACGCCAGGCTATCCTGCGGAGAAAGCAAGGCCGTGGCAGACGAGAGCGAGAAGGGAAGGGAGAAGAGGGAGTGGAAAGGGAGACAAGTAATATGGCAACTAAAGACCCGTGGAAATCAAGGGTAAAATTGGGTTCGTCACAGTGAAAATAGATGATTTCATACTTTTGTCACAGATTAAGAGGAATATCCTGTACAAACTGTGAGACTCCCTGGCAGGGACCCGCACTTCTCTTAACATTGTGGGGTGTGGGGGGGGGCACCCTGCACCTCGGGCAATGGATGCTGTTTAAGAAACTGCAGCGAGGATCTGGCAGGGGACCTGCTTTGGGAGGAAAAGTAGTGGCTGCTATATTCACAAGCAGTGCCCCTGGCTCGGGGCTGGAGGAAGGTGGGGGAAGAGCCTTTGCTGAAGCAACAGCGATACTCTGAATGTTGCGTCTAATTTTGTGTCGCGCCTCCCGCTGCCACCGCAGGTCCATGTCTCCATCCCATCCCCACCAGAGATGCATTGACGGCACTGCACGACTCCATCGGCAGACGCCGGCGTCGTACGCAGCAGGCCAGTGGCCGAAGCAGGGGTGGGATCTGCTTCCCCTGAGCGGTCGCCCATCCACGGGTCCCAGCTCTTGTCACCAAAGATGGCGCCCGTGGATTTCAGAGAACCGTGTTTAGCGGATGGACCCCGTGAATCCGGTTTCGCAGAGGGGCGCCGGGTGCCAAAACAAATTGTTGGGTCTGTAGGGCCAAGTGAGGGGTTCGTCCCATAGGCTCGTAGGAAAATAGGGCAGCAGGGAGCTCCCAAGGTCATCTAATACAGCCCCGTGCTCAAGGCAGGATCATCCCTGACTAAACCAGCCCAGCCAAGTGTCTGTCCAACTTGCTCTGGAAAACTTCCAGGGATGGAGCTTCTTTCCTGTCCCAATGCCTAACCACCTTCATAATCAGAAAGCTTCTCTTAGTCTCCAACCGAAATTTCTTTGAGGCCATTGCTCCTAGTCTGGAGAAATGCCCCTCTCTATAATCACCCTTCAAGGATTTGAAGACTGTTATCAAGTTGGTATTCTGTCCTCCAAACTACATAACCCTAGCTCTTTCAGCCTTTCCTTGTAAGGCTTGCTTCCCAGGCCTCTAATCATTTTTGTCGCTCTCTGTTGGACTCTTCCCAATCAGTCCACATCCTTCTTGAAGTACGGGGCCCAAAACTGGACACAGGACTCCAGGTGAACCTGCGTTCATGCTGAATAGAGCAGAAGAATCACTTCCCTTGCCTTGCAAGTGACAGTCCCATTAATACAGACTCATTTTCAGTTTATGGGCCTTCATATTCCCCCAGGTCCTTCTCCGCAGCACTGTCACCTGGCCAGTCATTCCCCAGTCGGTATACGTGCATACAGTTATTCTGCCCCAAGTGCAGGCCTCTCCACTTGTCTGTGTTGAACTTCATCTGGTTGATCACGGACCATTTTTCCAGTCTATCCAGGTCATTCTGGATCCTTTCCAGCGTCTGTTTGCCCTGGGATGCTGAGAGCCAAAACTGTACCGAAGAGGACCTCAGCTGCTTAGACATTGCTTGCGACAGCCAAGGAGTCTCAGCAGATGGGGACATGCCATTGCTCGACGATCTTCTGCAATCCCGTCGGGAAGGCATGAAAGCAAAACCAGCAAACAAACGTTGTGCCAGGTTTCATGCTACCGTGTTTAACAGCTTACAAAAATCCCCTCATCTCCTCACCGGCTCGCCAAGAAGGTCCTCTTGAGTCTTGCTGAGGGCAGCTCCCCGGGGCCGGTCTGGCCGGGCCTTCCAACGTATTCCTGGAACATCGTGTCTAGAAGATGCTCCTGGGCGGCTTTCCTCCAGAGCAAACAGCTCTGCATCTGCAGTAGCGCATTGCAGGGCGAGTGCAGCCACGTGGGGCTGGATGGGAAATCTGGGGCAGGAGGTTTCCCATGGAAGAGCTGTGCTGGTTTCTGGAGAAGGGGCAGATCCGTTGCATGTTGTCTGAAGTAATGAAATCCCGGGCCCAGATAGCAGCGTCCAGTCCTTATCCTGGTCGTGGGTGCCAAATTCCTGTCACTTCTCCCACGGCACCATCCCTGCCTGCCTCGGATCCAACTAAGTGCCCTTGACAGAGATCCATAAGGCGATGGGGGAAAGCAGAGGAGGTTTCCCAAGGGAGTTAATATGATGGGTGCTTCACACAAACCTGGTGGCAATGGGAGGTGGGAGCTGGCTGGTTTCTTGCCTGCATTGCCAGCATTTACTTGGGCACCTCCCTCAGTGCAGCCAGGGCACCAGTTGTCTGGTGAGTCCAAGAAACTCCCTGCAAGTCCCAAGGGGCACAGTCATCCCCACAGATGGGATGCAGAGGAGACTCTGCAGGCTGCGGGTTACTCAGCCCATGGAAAACTGGGGCCTTGATTTTACCTTCTGTCCTGGATCAGTCAAACCCCCACTGGCTCCAGGGGTTGTTTGGCCTGACTCAGGACCCCCATGTTTAGCCCAGCGCCTCTTAACCTTTTTAGACCTCTGATGCCCCTGGTTAGACTCAAGGCGCCCCCCAGAAAATGCCAGGTCTTAGTTTTCACTTGTTTTTGGACTACAGGAAAATACTAGCGCAAGTCACCTGTTGCAAAGAACTCATCCTGACCTGTTGTGATCTTCCCATTTTTAACACTATTGGGCATTTTTACACATGCTCCAGAAGTGGGGGGAGGGGGATGCTTTAATTAGAGCAGGTCTTGGAGCCGCCTAATTAAAGCATCTATAGCGCCTCGTGTATTCAGTGTCCCATGCTTCAAAATTGGAGGGTGGGGGGCACTTGATGAGCTTCAGTTAAAGTGTCCCTGCTGTCATTTTGAAGCTTGGGGACACTGAATTCATGAGATGCAGAGCCTGCTGGAGTGCGTTAATTAGCAGGCTCCAGCAAACTCGATTAATTGAGTCTGCTCCGACACGCTGTAATTATAGCGTGCCAGAGGAGCAACCCTACACGTGTACAGGCACTCTTAGAGTCCTGTTTGAAACCTCTGGGGTTGTTTTGTGAACAGTGCTTTCGTGCTGAAGAGTGA